TAGGCATTTATTAAATAGTAACAAAAGACAAATTCAACATCTTTAAACAATAAAAAAAATAATTTTAGAGCTTTAATTGATATTGAGATGTTTTTGCTGTTACTGAAACATGGTATACACCTTTATCAGATGTCAATATTGAGGGTTATGTAATATATAGAAACGATTGGCTGAATGGTAAAAAAGGGGGTGATGTTTGCATATACGTTAATAGTTCCATAAAATCATATGAAATCAGTAATATTGAACTTAAATCCAATCTTATCGAGAAAATATGGACATGGATTGAGTATGGTCAAGAAAAAGTTTTATTAGGTTGCATATATCGTCCCCCTGACTCATCCTGTGTCACCAATAAAAATATTATAAATTCTATTATAGCAGCTAAAAGAGCACAAGGTAAAAAACAATTCACTAGTGTAATAATAACAGGTGACTTTTACTACAATACTTTAAAGTGGAAAGACAGTGTTGAAGAATCACATAGCTAACAAGCTGAAGATTTTGTAGCATGTTTAAATGACTGTTTTTTCGAACAATGTGTTACTGAAGCAACATTTCAAAGCAACAAAAAACGAATTAACAAATATACTTGATTTAGTAATTGTAGATGATAGTAACCGTATTTTTGGTTTATCCCATTTGCCACCACTTGGTTTGAGTAGTAAAGGACATCATATTCTAAAATGGTTTTATAAAATGAAAGATCGAATAGATGACTTCTCTTCATCAACTAAAAAATTTGCATATCGTAGAGGAAACTATGAAAAAATTAATGTTTATATAAAAAGCATAAATTGGGCTGACGAATTTCAAAACAAATGCATTGACAAATGTTATGATAAGTTTTTATATCATTATAATCAATCATGCAAAAATTATATACCTATTGTAAAACTAAAAAATAAAGCAAGTGAAGTTTGGATGTCAAATAGCTTGAGAAAAGAAATCAAGTACAAAAATAATTACTGGATAACAAATAAAAAAATGAACTGGTCTATAGCTGGCTCAAAAGAAAAATATAATAAAATGAAAAGAAACATTTTAAAACAAATAAATAACTCTGTTAAAAATTACGAAAGAAACTTGGTAAATCAGGTAAAAAATGAACCTAAATTACTATATTCATATATTAGAAAAAAGCAGAAAGTAAAAAATCATATAAGAGCATTAAATGATAATATTGGTTCAACAATGTATGACAAACATAGTATTGTCGATATTTTTAACAAGTATTTTCATTCTGTCTACATAAAAGAAGAAAATATAAATGATTGTAATTCTAAAGTACAAACAAATAGTAGGTTTGGAAAAATATTCGTTGATCAAGCACTTGTGAAATCATATTTGTCAAAATTAGACATTAACAAGTCTAGTGGGTATGACGAAGTAAATCCTTATGTGTTAAAAGTCTGCTCTGAAAGTTTTTCAATACCACTTTCAATTATCTATCAACAAAGTCTAACAAATAGTGATATTCCTGATCTCTGGAAAATGGCAAATGTGAGTCCCATATTTAAAAATGGAAGTAAATTGCAAGCAATAAATTATCGACCAGTATCTTTGACATCCATACCTTGCAAAGTACTAGAAAAAATTATAAGTGATATCTTAAAAAACTATTTAGAATCAAATAATCTTTTTTGTAAACAACAACATGGTTTCTTAAAGGGTAAAAATTGTATAACAAACTTATTAGAATCCTTAGATTTTTTAACATATTAACTAATGATAGGCAATTCAATAGGCATTTTATATACTGATTTTCAAAAAGCATTTGATAGAGTGCCTCATAAGAGATTAATTTCAAAATTATGTGGTTATGGAATAGAAAAAGAAATGCTAAATTGGATAGAAACATATTTATCAAATAGAAAACAACGCGTTTTAATTGGTGATACAAAATCAGATTGGTTAGAGGTGCTAAGCGGTGTTCCACAGGGTTCTGTGCTTAGACCATTATTGTTCTTGTTATATATTAATGATTTACCAACAAAATTAAAAATAAATGTGAACTTTATGCAGATGATAACAAAATTATAGCTGTAGTTAACAACCAGGTAGACTCAAAAAGCTTGCAAGACAATATTAATAATCTAACTGAATGGTCCGACAAATGGATGATAAATTTCAACATCAAAAAATGTAAAATCATGCATTTTGGAAAGCATAATAAGAATTTTGAATATTTTATAAAAGATTCAAAATTAGATTCAACAACTAATGAAAAAGACATTGGATTGTTAATTTCAAATACTATGAAGTGGAATCAACATGTAAATATGGTTGTAAATAAAGCAAATAGTCAATTAGGTCTACTAAGCAAATCATTTACTTACAAAGACAAAAACACAATAAAGATTTTGTATTGCACTTTTGAAGACCTATTCTTGAATATGCATCACCAATATGGAACCCTTATAATAAAAATGACATACATAAATTATAAATTTTTCAACAACGAGCAACAAAGTTGATTCCAGAGTTAAGACACCAAATCTTCTGAAAAAAAAAAAATTTAACTGACTTCTTTAAAAATCAGGAGATTAAGATATGATTTAATTCAATATTATAAAATATTTCATAATTTGGACAAAGTGTGTTGGTATCAACAACCAAAAGCAGCAATTTCAATTTCAGCAAGTGGTCCAGCTTCAAACATTAGAGGACTTAGAGCATTTGTAGATATTGAGCTAATAAAAAAAAACAGACCAAGGGAAAATTTTTTTACTAATAGAGTTGCAAAATGGTGGAATAAACTACCAGAAGAAATCATCTCCGCAAAAAGTGTAAATATCTTCAAGGACAAGCTTGATAAACATATGGTTATTATGAAAATCTGATCTCTACGACTATTATGAAACTGTTAATAGCAATGGCTCATAATAGATTCAACATGGCGTTGAATCTCAAGGAGCATAAAAAAATAAATAAAATAAATTTGGTACCTTGCTTTTAATTGATTTTGTTTTATTTTTGTTTTATCAAATTGATTGTTTTATTAACTTCATTTTATTCTTTTAATTTTTTCCTTATTTTATTTTTTATTCAACCTTTTTGTTTAATTATATCTTTCATTATTATTTTTATTTTTCTTTATTTTTAATTAGTATATTAATTTTAATTTAATCTATTCTTTAAAATAATTTCTTTCCTTTTTCCTTATCTCTTTTTTTTGTTTTCACCATTTAATAAATTCTTCCGCCATCTTAAGCCATTTTGAAAAATGGCTATAGTCTTCTGCATATATATATATATATATATATATATATATATATATATATATATATATATATATATATATATATATATATATATATATATATATATATATATATATATATATATATATATATATATATATATATATATATATATATATATCAGGGTTCCCACACCTCCTTAAAAACCTTGAATATCCTTAAAAAATAAAAATCTCCTTAAATGTCCTTAAATAACCTTAAAAGTTAAAATTTGACTGCTCTCCTTAATTTCTCCTTATTTTTTTTTTTATTCATCTAGAAAAATTTTTTAAAGTGAATGAATTATACTTGTTAATAAAGAAGATAATGTATAGATTTTTGATAGTTTTTAAAACTGTTTTTGTTATTATATTTATATATTAATATTTGTATAGATATATATAAATTAATAATAATTTCTCTGTTTATATTTAAAATTTATTGAAAAAAATAAGATTATGTTTTTAAAGGAATCCTTTTCTCCTTAATTATCCTTACTTTTTCTTTTAAAAAAATGTCGTTTGTGACCAAATCTCCTTAAATATTAGGAAAATATCTCCTTAAATCTCCTTAAAATCCTTAATTTTAGCCTTAGTTTTAATAGTGGGAACCCTATATATATATATATATATATATATATATATATATATATATATATATATATATATATATATATATATATATATATATATATATATATATATATATATATATATATATATATATATATATATATATATATATATATACACATATCAAAGCTTTTGTGCTGATATTTTTTTCTTCCCTTGCTTATCATGCTACCGAATCCAGAAATATGGCAACTGTTAAATAATTATTATATTAATTGCCTTACTTAGTTTGACTAATTATACTAATTTTTCCTGTACTTAATTGTAATTTTGATTTCAGAATTGGACTTCCTGACCCTAAATTTTGATATATAACACACTAATTTCATGCAAGTTGACCATAAAAATCTAATCAAAGTGGTTCAAACTGAATTTAGATTTCTGAAATTAATTTATCCACTAAAAAACCTATATATACGATACAATTATTACAATGCAAAAATTATGTAAGCTGACCCTAAAACCATATTGGCCTTTAGCAAAAGTGGTCAAAAATCAGAAATGGATTCCCTTATTGCAAAAACCTATATTTAATTATTTTATGTTACCCCAAAGAATATTACAATTTCTTTATGTTTTGACAAAGAAGAAAAAAAAACATGATTAAAGGTTATGTATGTATTCTGTATAAATACAGAATACATACATAGTTGATAAATAAAGAGGAATATATTTATTATGAATTAATTGTATCTAAAGATACAATTAAGTAAAATATATTTTACTTCAAAAGTATAGTGAAGATAATTTAAAGCCTTAATAAAAAAAAAACAATAAAGGTAAAATTACGATTGAATATATTTGTAAATGTTATAATTTGTTATAACACCTTGATAAGCAGCGATTGCTGACTTTTTAATGGTGCATGTTTATCTAAAAGAGAGAGAGAGAAAAAAAAGTTATTAAAATTTTTCTATGTTTATATTTATAATCTTTAATATGTTTTTAGATTTATAAATAATTTGTAAGTCTAATATTACAATTACATAAAAATTAAATATTAGCTAAAATAAATATTTTGATTTGCATATATCTGGTAACAAGTTAAATTTATCAATATTTATAATAATAATATTTTAAAGAATACAATTTTTTTAGTTTAACTTGTTTTTAAAATTTATTTCAGTATCTAATTCGTATGAGAAAACTTAGGCTCAAAACACAGTAAGTTTATTTTTGTACTTTATATGTTTCTTATTAATGCAGAAGATTTGAATATTAGTTCAGATATTTTCTTTAAATAGAAAGAAACTGGTAACAGTGAATAAGAAAATTGAGCGAAGGGAAAAAACTAGAGAGGTATAGTTTTTTAATTTGAATTAAGAAGGAACAGTATTGTTGCTATTTATTTTCAAATGCATTTTAATTGAATATGCGTGATTTATATATGAGTTAATAATTTAATTTAAAAATTTAAAAAAACCATTTTTCAAAAATATGTTGGATCTCAAAAAAAGAGAAATTAAATAAAAATTTCAAAAATAGTAATCATTTTATAAAAAACAAATAAATAAAAATATTATGAAAAAAATGCATAATCGCAAAAATGCACAATTTTTATTTTTAATTAAAATATCTTATCTTTTATGCACTAAAATCAAAAGTAATTACACAGGTCAACAAAAATTTTTTTCTTTTTGTTGCCGAGCAAACAGTTAGTTTTTTTTTTATAGCATTTTCTCATTTTGATTTCAAATATGCAACTCATTTTTCAACATCATGTCAAGTTGTAAAGATATTTGGTTTCAAATATTTAGTATTTGGTGTAATATTGTCGAAAAAAAAGTTTTTCAAAAGTATGTCAACCTGGGTCTCAAAAGAAGTGTATTTTCATAAATGAAAAGATTTCAAAAATGTTATTCGTTTGTAATGAAAATAAGTACTTTTTGTATTATTGCTGAAAAACATTTTTTTACAATTTTTTAAAGAGTCTTGAACATTTTTTTCACATATTTTTTTGTCAATAAGTTTTAAAGAAAAATTATGTTTTCTAAAATCTCTATGAAAATATGCTTCTTTTGAGACCCAGGTTGACATACTTTTGAATAACTTTTTTTTTAACAAAATTAGGGACTTTACACTAAATACTAAAAATTTGAACCCAAATATCTTTACAACTTGGTGTGATGGTGAAAAATGAGTTGCATATTTGAAATCAAAATGAGAAATGCTATTAAAAAAACTAATTGTTTGCAGAAAAAAAAATTTTGTTGACCTGTGTTACTTTTTAGTAAAATGATTATTATTTTTAAAATTTATATAGTTTTGAGTTATTTGAGACCAAACATGACATACTTAAAAAAAACTTATTCTAGGTACCCATTAAATTTTTAAAGCTTTTGGGGCAACTCATGATGATTTTCTAGAGCATTGATATTTTTCCAGAGTATTTCTGATACGAATGGATAACTTTTGCACACCCATACTAAATGAATTCTAAAAAAAATTAAAATTCACTGCATTAAATAGGAATTGAACATTTATTTGAATGAGTTAATATAAATGTATGAAATAATAAAAGATTGAGTATTTTTGAAAAAATTAAAATATTATTTCGAATACTGCTATAATTATTTAATAATAATGTAAAATGTTATTACGATCAACAATTGCATAGCAATAGAAACCTGTGGATCTTTATTTATCTAAAAAATTTGTGTGTCGATTTTAACCCATTAAATAAGACTGCATGGGGTCATCTTAGTTGAGAATTATTCCCTTACTTCCCAGCTCATGTCAAGTTTTTGTTCTGGTACCTTCAAGGGTTCTCTAATTTTTAGGCGCCAGTGTTCTGGAGCTTAAAAATTATTCAGGAGCTTAAAATTTATTCTGGAGCTGAAATATATTTAATAGTTTAAGCATGCGTGAAATTATCTTATGTAATAATTTGTGATTATTATAATAACATCTAACCTTATAGCGTAATTTGATTATCTATTCTTTAGCAAGTTGACTAGTTCATTTAATTTTAAATAATAAATATAACCATCTTGTTAAATAAACTATATCTGGTATTTTAGAAAAAAGCATTGGTGGCAGCTCAAATTGAAAAGAATATAGAAAAAGAATTGCTTGAACGTTTAAAGAAAGGAACGGTAGGTTTAAAAGATTATAACTATATATTACAAGTGTTTATAGAAGCATATCAACATTAAGTTATTGATTTTAGTATGGTGATATATATAACTTCCCAGAGACAGCTTTTGATAAAGTATTAGAAGATCAAGAGATCGAATCTGATCATGGAGAAAATGAGGTACTTTATGTATGATAATGATTATTAATGATTGATTGATGATGATGTTGATGATGATTGTTATTTATAAAATTGAATGAATAAAATGACGATGATGATTGTTAGTTATTTCTTATGTTAAATATAGGATGAAGAGGAGGTTGAGGAAGATGTAAGGCTTCTTTCATATTATATTGTTTAAATATATATTTTTATTTCTAATTTATTATCGTTTATTTATTTATTAAAACTGTTTATTTAAACACTTTTTTTATTTTTTTAAACACTTTTTATTTAAACACTTTTTATTTAAACACTTTTTAATATTTTCATAGGGAGAAGATATTCCAGAATTTGTTGCAGATGATGAAATCGAAGAGACTGATAATGAAATGGAGGTTGTGGATGTGTTTATTTAAATTTTTAAATTAGATAATTAGGTTTTTTTTTAAGTTGATATATAAAAGTATATGTTGGTATATATAGGACTATGATTATTCTGCCGAAGAAGAAGAAGAAGAAGATGAGGGAGAGGAGGAAGAGGACGAAGAAGAACCAGTGGCGAGAAGTTCTGTAAAAAAACGAAGAAAACATATTGAAATTGAGTACGAAACTGAAAGTGAACCCAAAAAGAGGGTGAAAAATGTGAAATAGTTCTCTTTTTTAAAGATAAATATGGAAATACAGAATCCTCTTTTATATTTTTTTCAACAATTTTAATATAAACGTTTTTATGACATAATTATATCATATGAAAATAATCATATAGAGGTTTTTAGCTTAAGCCGTCGGCAATTTTTTTACACTAAACTTAGAAGAAAAATATGCATTAAAAGTATTAAACAATTTTCTAGTTAATCTATATATAGATCCTTATAGGATTTGGGCAATTCCACCAGAGGTCAATGTTAAAAAACTTTTTATCGGCGTAAAATGCTACCGGCGGAATTTTTACTCTGGAATTTTTACTGCCGTAAATTTAGAGACGTAAAATGTTTTTTCATAAAATGTTATAAAACCTTTACCGGCGTAAAATTTTGCAGATATCTATGCACTGAATTTATTTTCGGAAATCTACTGTCCGAATAAATAACATAAAAGTTTGTCAAAAACAAATTGTTTTTGAGTTGAAAACATCAAAGTTAACAAAAATTAAGCGTTTCTTATGGATTTAAAGTTAGACTGTTCCGATTCTGATGAAGAATACTTTGTTGCTTTAGGATATTTGGCAAATCAGAGACAAATACGAGAAGTAAAACTCTTCAAACAGTATTTAAACAGTTGGGAATACAGTTTAAAAATAAAAAAAATGGAATTTTCATTAATTTTTTACCCTACCCTATAACAAAATTTGTATTGCTTTTTTATAAAAACAACTTATACTATTTTCTAACGAGAGGTTTCTTTTGACCAGAATTGTTAGTCCTTGGCCTTGACCTTGCCTTAAGACCAAAACTAAGGCCTTGGCCTTGGCCTTGATTGTTTTGGCCTTGGTCTTTATAATAAAATACATAAAATTAAAGAACTAAAAGTTTTTTATTCTTTTTTTTTACATAATTAATTAGGTAATTAATCATTTCTTATTTTGTAAAATTGTGTTGATATAAATATAGAGAATCTTTACACATTTTATATTATACAATCTATACACATAGAAACACATATTATACAATCTATACACATAGAAAATCTATACACACAGAAAAAATAGTAAAAATTGCATAAATAAACTTTAAAAAAAAAATAATTATAAGAATTATACACAAACTCAAATTCTTAAAACAAAAATTTATTTAGACACAAATAAACATTTAAACATAAAACTATTTTGATGCTATAGGATTAGAATTTTATCCACAATAAGTTTAGACGTGCTTCCATACCATAGGCAATATGAGAAACTTTGGAAACAAGTTGTACATAATGTCTAAACACTTTCTGAATAAGAAGAAAAATCTTTGATTATTTTGTTATCTGACTTTATCAAAAATATTTGAGCTCATACCATATTTGAGCATCAAATATAATTTCTAGAACTTTAATAATTCTGTTTATAACTTGACCACTTGTTTTACTATTTTGAATTTCAAATAACCTCTGCATAAATTTTAAATGGAGAAATTTCTTTTGCCTGTCCATTTTAAGTTTGTCTAAAACTAAAGTTGATCTGATTTTTGGATCAATAAATAGCCCTAATAAATCTAGCATAAGTGCAATTTTCTAATTAGTTCAATAACAAAAAAAAAAAAAAAAAAAAAAAAAAAAAAAACTTTTTATTTATTATAAATAAAGACGTATCTTTAATAAAAATTTTAACTTAATAATATGGCTGTAACACTTCCAGAAATAAAGAAACTTTTAAAAGAAATGTTCAAAGAATTTAAAAAGGAAACGGAAGAAATGTTTCAAAAGCAAGAAAAAGCAGTTCTCGATATTATTGGGGCTAACATCAAAATAATTAACGATAGATTTGAAAAAGTAGAGAAAAATGTTGATGGAAATGCAAATTGTATAAAGAAATTAACAAAAGAATTAGAAGATATAAAGGTAACCCTTAATTTTAATGAAGGACTTATTGACGAAAAAATAGTTACTAACAACAAATATCTAGATAAAAAAATGGAACATACAAAAATAGATAATGTATTAAAAGAAAAACAACGAAACTTAGAAGATCGATCGCGCCGAAACAATCTTAGGATTGAAGGAATTTACGAGAATGATAAAGAATCATGGGGGGATACAGAAAAAAAAGTCCAAACATTCTTCACCGAAAAACTTGGACTAAAAGATGTTGAAATTGAAAGAGCTCACCGCACTGGACGAAAAAACGATGGACGACCAAGGACTATAATATTAAATCTTCAGAAATATAAAGACAAAATAAGAATATTGAAGGAATTGTATCGACTCAAAGGCACAAATACGTTCGTGAACGAAGATTTTTCTCGAGAAACCGTCGCTATTCGAAAAAAATTGTTCGCTGAAGTGAAAGAAAGGCGATTGAATGGTGAAAGTGTTACGGTAAGGTATGACAAAATTGTTTATATTAAAACTTCTTTTAAAAACAATTTTAACGAATAATTTTATGGGCATTCCTAAAAAGAAATCTTAAATAAAATATATTAATCATGGCTACAAATGAAAACTTTGAATCTCGTGTTTTTAAAATTCAAAAAACAAATTACTCTACGTTAAATGAAAATTTAGACTCTGATTACAATATTTATCACAATAAATTTTCAGATTGTTCATATTACTTTCCTAGCCAACTAGAAGGGTTTCTTTTTAAGAATGAGAATGAAAGAAATAATAATCAAATGTTAATTCTCCACCTCAATATAAGAAGCTTAAATAGCAATTTTGAAAAACTTTTAGACTTATTAGAAGAAACTAAACATGTTTTTAATATAATTTGTTTAACAGAAACTTGGATTTCTTTAGAAGACCTAAATAATTTTCATCTACCTCATTTTAATACATTTTTAATGGAAAGGAAAACAAATAAGCGCGGTGGTGGAGTTTTAATTTATGTTCACGAAAATTTTGAGCATTGTATTAGGCATGATTTGAGCGTTTCTGACTGCGATAAAGAAATTGCAACTATAGAAATTACTAACTGCAACAAAAAAAAAATTTTACTAAGCTGTTGTTATCGGCCACCTAATGGCGTAAGCGAAAACTTTAGCATGTTTTTACAACAAATTATTAAAAAAGGTACCGTTGAAAAAAAACAAAATTTTATAATTGGAGATTTAAACATGAATTGTTTTCTTTATAATGATAACCTTAAAGTTAAAAATTTTTATGATGAAATTTTTGAAACGGGATCAGTATCTTTAATAAACAAACCTACAAGAGTAACGACAAATTCAGCAACTCTAATAGATAATATAATAACTTCAGATATTTTCAACAATGATTTAAAAGTAGGTATTTTGCGAACCGATATATCAGATCATTTCCCTATATTCCTAAAATTAGATAATACAAACTCTGAAAAAACTTTAACCGCACAAAGAGTAATTAGAAAACGCATTTATAATGAGGCTAACCTTAATTTATTCAAAAATCAACTTTCATTACTACACTGGAATAACATAAATTTTAATGATAATGCTAACAATATCTATGAGTCTTTTTTCAAAACATTTTTTTCTGTATACGATGCTAACTTCCCAATCATTGAAAATAAAATAACTACTAAGAGCTTAAATACACCCTGGATCACTAAGGGCTTTAAAAAATCGTCCAAAATTAAGCAAAAACTATATATAAATTTTTTGAAAACAAAAACACCTAAAAACGAAAAAATTTACAAGGACTACAAAAACCTATTTGAAAAAATTCGCAAAAATCTAAAAAAAAATTATTACTCCCAATTACTCAATACATTTAAAAATGACACAAAACGCACATGGCAAATAATGAATGAAATTATTGGAAAACAAAAATCATGCTCAGGTTTTCTGCCACAAATGGTTAGATTCGATAACAAAAGTTTATACGAACCAAGAACTATAGCTCAAGAATTTAACAAATTTTTTATCGATATAGGTCCAACACTTTCTAAAAAAATCCCAAACACCAAATCTTTATTTACTGATTTTCTAGTACCCATTGATAATTGCATTGGTTCAGTTGAGTTGTCTTCTGAATTGTTGTTTGAAGAGTTTGAAAGAGCCTTCAAATCTTTAAAAAAAAATAAAGCAGTTGGAGCAGATCAAATAAATGGAAACGTTATTATAGATTGTTTTGAACAGCTAAAAGTTGTTCTTTTTAAAGTTTTTAAAGCTTCTATCCATCAAGGTGTTTTCCCCGAACTGTTAAAAATTGCCAAAATTATTCCTATTTTTAAAGAAGGGGACAAATCAATTATAAGTAATTATCGCCCTATTTCTGTTCTTTCCACCTTTTCAAAAATTTTAGAAAGAATTATATATAACAGAGTATACAAATATTTTCATGTTAATAAATTACTTAACATTAATCAATTCGGTTTTAAAAAGGATAGCTCAACTGAACATGCAATTATCCAATTTGTACGGGAAATCTCAAAATCATTTGAAAAATCACAATATACTCTAGGACTTTTTATTGATCTATCAAAAGCTTTTGATACGGTTGACCACCAAATTCTAATCCATAAACTTAAACACTATGGAATAAAAAATAAAGTTTTAAAATGGTTTGAAAGCTATTTGTCAAATCGTAAACAATTTGTTCCGAGTAATGACGGTTATCACACCAATTGTCTTTCTATAACATGTGGAGTCCCACAAGGCTCAATTCTTGGTCCACTCCTTTTCCTAATTTATATTAATGATTTAAATAAAGCCTCTAAACTAACAAGTATTATGTTTGCAGATGATACTAACTTATTTCTTTCTAACAGTGATATCTTTGAACTTTTTAAAACAATGAACAAAGAGCTTATACATGTATCGAGTTGGTTTAAATGTAATAAGTTAACTCTAAATTCTAATAAAACAAAGTGGACCTTATTCCATTCGCTTTCCAAAAAACGATATTTGCCATTAAACTTACCTAAAATTTTTATTGATCAAAATGAAATAAAAAGGGATTCCGTAACAAAATTTTTAGGTGTTTACCTTGATGAAAACATCACTTGGAATCATCATATCGACTACATAAGCACTAAAATTTCAAAAAACATAGGAGTTTTATA